CCACATTAATTGATCCTATTTACTAATCATAATACACAATTCATGTATTAAAATTTCACATATATAAAACTTTTTAAGAATTTTCAATGATTTCAAATAAACAAATCACTTTGATTTATTAATCACAAAATTCTTAAATTATTATACATGTAATAAATAGTGCTCAAATAATTATTAAAAAGGAAAAAGAAAAACAAACAGAACACCCAAAATCCTACCAATTTTCGGCTCAAACAGAATCCACAGAAAAACTTGAATTTTACTTGCTGACCAAATTGGAAGAACCGACTTTTCACAAAATCAGGATTTTAAAATTTCTGTCCATAAATTCTTACCATAGAACAATTGCTCTTGAATTTAATTATTGATTCGTGACAAGTCAATGAATTAAAAGGCAACAAGACACCATTACTGTTATAGTATCCCAAGAAAATTAGACCTTAATTTCTCATCTTAAATTCACAAAGTTGAGAATAACAATGTCCCAAAATATATCTTACTGCCGCCGCAAGTGCAGTACCTTTTTTTTTGAAAAAAAACCTTTCACATATATTATGATTTTTCTTGTGATGAGACTATAAATCACGAATCATAAATATGATTACCCACGTGCATATCGTATATAGATTATCTATAAAGATGCAAGCAAGACTCTTGATGCCAATTGTTGGAAAACATATATACACAGCGGAAGCATACCCTAATCTGACTGCTTACATGAATAATAGATAATCAAATCGTTTATGCTAGAACACATATAATATGCTAGAACACACAAACTTATTGAAATTTAATACAAGAATTACCTCTTCAAACGTGATCAGGTACATTCAAGCGAATTTCCAAGATAGACAGACCTTCAAGCGAATCTACAAGATAGACAATAGCTATGAATATGGTCTTCTACAGTGATCCCAAGTTCACATCCGAACTTTCTCAATACTTGGGTGGGCAAGTATGAATAGAAAACTTAATCCATCTTTTTCTAGGTTAGGAGAATCTCTATTTATAGAGATTTCTTTTCTCAATCCAAAAAAGGAGAAGAAAACCCAGTTTTCTTGAAAAACAAGAAAACACACGCCTTACTCCTTTTTCCTCTAAGAAATAGGATTCTGAGTTCTAGTTAAATATGGGCACTGGAGGGACCACATAATTAATTACTGAGGGTTCCTATTATGATGAATTTAATTCAATGATTAATTTCCTTTAGAGCACCACTTAACTTATTTCATGTGTTGGATTCATAAATCCACTTACAAGGTTTGACACGATGAAAGCTTATAAGTTTCTCAAAAAAGTCATATCAATCAATCTCTATAGCAAGACATGGATCCCATCAACTAACTTATTATTTCACCAATATATATTATTATCATCCAACTTACCAAGCATATTGATCCATCTCAGAATCTCATCTTTTAATAAATCAAAACGATAATTAATATATACAGATCATAATAGTTATACCAGGATTAAGAATATAAGTACATTTAATAGTTTAGAGAATATGTTTTGTCAGTCAGTCTAAAACAACTATCTCTACTCGGTCCCATTCAATACATACAAAATGCACTAGCACAAGAAGTTGGAACTATACCATTCCCATAATCAAGATAAATTACATATAATCTTGTGCTACAATCGTACCGATGGCATGTCCAATTTTCATCCTAGATTGTGAACAAAAAACTTTATACTTATAAAAATCGATGATTTAATCATCTGTGTATAAGCTAAAACTCTACACACTAAATCATTTACTATATAAGTAAACATACACCATAAACGAATATATGATCTATTAAAATTGAGCAAATATTTATTATATAATAAATATTATTTCTTAACACATGGTTAATAGTATATATCCCAACAGGTAGAACTCTGTATCATGCCATATGCTATATGTGGATCCACTAGCTAGACCATTTAAGGTAATCCTACGGGGCACATAGTTTGGAACTAGAGGTTGCTACTAGAGACTACCCTATTTGAGCCTCCACCTCAAAGTTTTCTTGGTGCTAAGATAAATCCCAATTGAATAGTCATAAACATATAAAATATCATCATCCATTGAAAATCACAATTAAGTACTAATCCAAGCTAAAACATCATAGAGTAGCTCATTAAATCTTGAATCAAGTATAAGTGAGAAAACCTTTCACCAAACTATTGTTCCTTAATTTGTGAGAAAACATTTCACAATTTCATTGATGCCAATCTTATAGCAACCTAGCTCATAAAATAATCTTTTTCATGAATCATGCATAAGTTCATAATTAAACATTATTCACAGCTTCATAATTTCTTCATAAATTCTTGCAAATTAGGATTCATAGTCAAAATCATGATCAATGCATGGGTTCACATGAAATTGATTATGTAATTGAGTCAAAACTATCATAATATGACAAATAAATAAAAACAATTGAGTCCATTCAAATAGAACCCATGAGGAATTGAATGAAACCCTAATCGATTGATGAATTGAAATTTGACATAGATAATTGAGAAACCTTGGGGTCCAAGGGTGAATGGAACCCATTGATGAATCCTTACATACCTTGAGGATCAAAGCCTAGAATAATGGTGAAAAAGGAGGGTCGAACTTGAAACCCTAGCTTCTTCTTCCTAGCTCCTTGAGAGAAAAGTTTGAGAGGATTTTGGGGATTTTTGGGACATTGATTTGGGAATGGGTAGGTTAGGACTAAAAAAAAATTAATGGGGATTATTTATAGGCATAATGATGTAGTGTAGGAATTAGGTGCATAAGAAAAGACCAAAACACCCTTTAAAAATAATCGTCGGTCAGTCCTATGGTTGCGACCTACGGGACCATAGAAATTTTTACGGACCTTACTGGTTAACCGTAGGTCGAGTACTGGGGCATAAATCTAGGGAAAATCCTACAACTCGTTTCTATGGACCGTCAAACTTTCTACGGTCCGTAGACCCCATCTGTAGACCTCAAATTTCAACTCAAGATTTCGCTAAGTCTAGGACCTTTCTACGGGACCTTCCTACGGTCCTTAGTCCATTCAACGGACCGTCATGGTCAACTGTCAAATGAGTTATTGGGCTTGATTATCGAAATATTTTTCCCACTTCCTACGAGGCTAGTCTACGACCCGTAGAACTTTCTACAAACCGTAGGCTGGTCTCGTGAATTCGTACTAGTAGCCCTTTTTAGCCTTCTTTCCTTTTTCAAAATCTTAGGTGTTACAAGATTATGGTAGGTGTGTTTTGTATTGTGAGGGTAAAGGTTGAAATTGTTGAATATAATAACATAAGTATTGCAAGGGACAGTTGTAAATATGAAAGTTTGGGCTCAAGTTTTGTGGAAGAGTTTGGAGGAAATTTCTTTAGAGGTAGATTATGGTTTTTGACCCCTTTGAGAAAAGAATTTTTAGCCCTAAATAATTCTGTTGATTTATATTCTGCAATTTTTTTTTTGCATAGTTACTCAAAGAATCTGGTTCTTTGAATTGTAAGGTTACAACCAAACTAATAATCGATATCACAACCAGGTCTTTCAATAAAGACTAACACTTTAAAAGACTGAAAATGCATGATTGCACCTCTCAGAATTCAAGGAGTACAATCAATCCCAAGACCACATACTTCAATGGTAAATTATGCCACATACAACAATACTAGAATCTTGACAAGGTAGATTATTCAAAGCTCAAAAATATGATTAGCACATGTCTGGAGATCATGACTCACACAACTATCAAAGCCTTCCAAGGAAGCTCATATTGATAAGAACAAACAACTGAAAATGAAACTAACTCACAAGAACCTACTAAAAAGGTCTGATGATTTAAGAGGCAAGCTCTTATATAGAATCCTAGAGTAAGAAACATGCATGCCTCCCAACTAGTGTATTAAAAGGCGGGGCGCGAGGAGAGATCAAAATAATATTGTAAAATGAAATCATCATCCATCTTCACATTTACTAATCCTTCACACCCTCAATTAATATTTGCACTGATTGTTGTTTATATATTTTAAAGAAAAAGGAGGATAAAATGTGTAAAAGTAATGATAAAAAAACGAATAAAGTTGTCTCAAGAACATAGTGCAATGAAAGTTTTATCCTTTAATTTCAAACCCGATTAACTAAAAAATTTATTTATAGCAATAACATTTTCTATGAGAATTTATTTATACATTTTAGAATAAAACATTACAACCTGAAAAAATATAATAACAGAAAATATAAAGATCATTACACCAATAATAATTAAAAATATGATTTAAAGCAAAAATGATTTAAAAACCAGAAAACAAAAATTAATGCCCGAAGCGTACATTTTTACCCTTGAGACTTACGTTTTTACATTCGAGGCTTATGCCCCCAAATTCTAGGATTAACACCCTATGGATACCTTCAATTTGTGCCCCAAACGCTTTCGATACGTCCCATCCCAAGACTCGCCTCGAAAACGTTTTTGAAAACTTGCCTCCCAATTGATATTCATTTGGTAATCAGCAAAATTCCATATTGTTAGCCATACCTCAAATTTTTTAGGCAAGAATATCTTTGTTATTGAAATTGACTATGTTTTAATTACATTTCCGACAATTGTTATATTTCAAGAATTGATCCTAAAACTGGCTAATGGGTTAAATGTTGGTTGACTCAAATGTCCTTCGAAGTTGAAGCATCATCAAATGAGTCCAACTTATAAGTTTTTGATTGAGTTTCGCTCATAAAGACCTAATTTAAAAGATACCCAGTGAACGCGTAAATAAACCAACAAATAATTTTAAGACAATAATACTCTCCAAACTAGACAACAATTGTTACTAAAATATCTAATTTCCAATCCTTCTCATTATAATTGTTTGGCCGTCCATACCGATAAATAATACTCTCTTTTTCTCTGTTTCAATTTGTTTGTCTGATGTGGTATATTGAAAATTGAATTGAGTTAGGAAGTGGTCCCTCTTAGTAAAAAGAGGCAAAATTCACGCCCCTCAAGTCTTTAAATATGCAACAAGAAACAGATAAAAAGGGCCATCTATCCCAAAGAGACAACCTCTATCCCAGCAGAGATGTGGGGATCAACTCTACTCTTACGTATAAACTCTGATGATGACATATCCTCAATTGCCTTTCATCTCTTCTTAATTCCCACACACACAAATTAAATTGTTCAGAAGAAAAAACAGAGCAGATGAGATACGTTCGTACAAGTAGCCTTAAAAGGCTCTTCTCATTCAGAAGGCAGAGTTTTGATGGTGAATTACCAAAACCTTGTGATTTCAATCAAGAAGAAGTTGCTGCTACACGTAAACCCACTTGGAAATGCTTCTCTTTTCAAGAAATTTTTCATGCCACCAATGGTTTCAATTCAGGTAACTAATCTTGTAATTTTATACAAAATTTTATTGTTAGACACAAAATGAAAATTCAAATCCTTTTATGTCAGAAAATATTGTTGGTCGAGGAGGGTATGCATCGGTGTACAGAGGCATATTAGAAACTGGAGAAGCAATAGCAGTAAAAATGCTTACAAAAGCGACCGACGATGAAAGAAAAGAAAAGGAATTTTTGACAGAAATTGGTACACTTGGTCACGTTTGTCATCCAAATGTAACGTCACTGCTTGGCTGTTGTATTGAAAATGGACTTTACATCATTTTTCAGTTTTCATCCAAAGGATCTGTTGCTTCAATTCTCCATGGTATTTAGTTTTCTTACTCTTGTTTCTTCAATAGTTTCAAGTTTAGTTTTGCTTTTTTTCTAATTTAATTAGCTTAATCTCAGATGAGAAATCACCCACTATGGATTGGGAAACAAGGTATAAAATTGCTGTTGGGACTGCAAAGGGTTTATATTATCTGCATAAATTATGTCCTAGAAGAATTATTCATAGGGATATCAAGGCCTCTAATATTTTGTTGAGTGAAGAATATGAGCCACAGGTATATTTTATTTTATTTTTAATTTTTGAGATATTGTTTCAAAAAATGTTCTAGTTTTGTGTATTTCATGAGTGTTGTACTTTATGCATAAGTTGTTGTACCAATCAAAAGTTTGTGTTCATTTATTAATTAATCATGTGTTGGTTGAGTGACAGATATCAGATTTTGGGCTAGCAAAATGGCTTCCATCACAATGGACCCATCATTCTATTGTTCCAATTGAAGGGACTTTTGGGTAATCATCTACTCCTTAGCTTTTTGCCTAATCACTACAATAAATAAAGAATTTAGCGACTATTGCGACAAAAATAAATATGAATATGTATAATCAGTACTTTATATAAATGCTGGTAAAGTCTAGTCTTAGGAGATTCTGGATATAATGACATTAACTTCTGGTGCCACTAAATATATTGTTTGCTATACATTTGGCACAAATTATAATGAACTTCAATAATGTATATGTTATGTTTTATCTGTAGGCATTTAGCACCAGAATATTTCATGCATGGAGTAGTTGATGAAAAGACAGATGTTTTTGCATTTGGAGTGTTCTGTTTGGAGCTCATTTCTGGAAAAAAACCTGTTGACAATTCCTATCAAAGCTTACATAGTTGGGTAATGATCAATTCTTGAATATTTTCATTAGTCACTAGACTGTATATAACTTATTATTATAATTTATATATATATATATATATATAGCTCATGTAGTTACATTTTATTTTTTTATCAAACTTAAAATATTAATTTATAATTCAAATATCTTAACGTTTATTAAAGAATGACATTTTTTTCTAATACATATATGTATATTATATATTCAAATGTTTATAAACAAAGAGTCTTAATCATCTAATGTTCAGATCTACAAACAAGATCTTAAATCATTCAAATGTGTATTCAGATTCAGACGTCTTAATCTTAATGAAAACAAATGAGACATTAATCATTCAGACGTGCATTCAGATTCAGACGTCTTAATCTTTAAATGAAAAACAAATGAGACATTAATCATTCAGACGTGCATTCAGATTCAGACGTCTTAATCTTAATGAAAACAAATGAGACATTAATCATTCAGACGTGCATTCAGATTCAGACGTCTTAATCTTAATGAAAACAAATGAGACATTAATCATTCAGACGTGCATTCAGATTCAGACGTCTTAATCTTAATGAAAAGAAATGAGATTTAGTGAGGTTTGATTTGAATTTTACAGGCAAAACCTTTATTGAGCAGAGGAGTTATAGAAGAAGTAGTTGATCCAATGCTACAAGGGACATTTGATTCTACACAACTTCATAAACTTGCCTTTGCTGCTGCTCTTTGCATTCGTGCTTCTTCTATATGGCGCCCTACCATGAGTGAGGTAAACTACACTTTACTTCTTTCACTTTTAACTTTATACATCGTTGGGTACGTGGAATACGGATAATAATCACGAGATATACTTTGAAATCAACTTTATTCCATGTTTGATTTAAAATCTTAGTTAATAATCTCGAAATATCCTTATTTATCTCATTTCACATACCAGACGAAAACACAAGTGCACTTGAAGATACAACTAACATGGTCTAAATCCAACAAAATGAAAGAATTAGAGCTCTTTCAATTATTGATGTTATTAATTTCTAAGTATTTTTTTACTTTTTTTGAGAACGACACCAAGCTATTATTCCTTCTTAGTATAATTTATTACGATAATAAGTAATTCCAGTTATTATTATTAATTCATAGGATTCCCTTAATAATAATGTTGGAAAAGCCTTCCAAGTTGCATAAAGTAAAATATTTGGTAGTATTATTTTTTATTTTCTTTTTGTCTGCTTTCTCCTAGATTGACCAACTGAATCAATTCCTAGTTGTCTCAATCTTCACACAAACATATACAATAATTCTTTCAAAATTGCATTATATATCCCCCTGTCTATATATCTACTCATTTTTAAAATATAAATTTGCTATATAAAGGAATTTTTTCTGACAGATGGACATCATATTAATTTCTTTAATTTTATGAGTGTAGACTAAGCATACTTGTAGTTTTAATTAGGCAATTCACCTAAACTTAAACTTTTCTCACCTGCTTAGGCTTTCATGATAAGGACCTTAATACTCTCTTCGTCTCATACTATTTATTCATATTATAAAATCAGAATAGAATTAATATTGTAATCTCCATTGTTAATTTTTATATTGATGGACAAGATATATAAATAGAGTGTATTAAAAAGAAGTTAAAGGGTACATATATCAATAAAAATATCTTTTTTATTTATAATTTTTTTAACCGACATGTGAAAGAGAAAATAGACAAATAATATGAGATTGAGGGAATACGTAGGCTAAGCATGCATTTTTTTCAAGTTTATGAGTGTAGGCTAAGCATTATTGAAATTTTAATTAGGCAATTCACCTAAAATACTGCAAACTTTTCTCACCTGTTTAGGCTTTCTTGATAAGGACCTTAATACTTCTTCTATTTTAAACTAAATTTCCGATTCTTTTGCTTTTTTTTATTTTTGAAATTTTAAAAAGCCAAAATTTAGAACATGCATTTCTTTCAACAAACAAAGAAATAATCATTTTTTAACTTTTGCAATTTTCCGATATTTTAAAAGAAAGAAAGATTTATTTTTCACTTTTCATAGGTAAATTTTTTTTTTAAGTCATAGTAATATTTTCAACTAATTCCAAATTTGTAAAAAATGCAATCATCATAGAGTGAAACTTTCACGCATGTAACAAAATTTACTAAGTTTCAATTAGGTGACACTTTTCACTTTTTTGAGAATTAATTTAATATTTTAAAATTAAAATCTATATATTTTAAAACTATATTGAAAAGTATAATATAATTCTTTTCAGGTTAATATGATAAAAATATGTATTTTAAAATATTAATCAAAATTTATACCGTTTGTCGGTATAAGTTGTAATATTCTAAGGGGTTTAATGACATCTGTGCCATTCAATAATCAATACAGAAAACGATCAATTTTTTCAAATATTTTTAGAAATCGCTTTACAGAGGCGTGTTGTAATCAAATAAATATATTTATTCATTTTTGTCGTGTTGATGATGTGAAGCAATTATATATAGATATTTCTTTTAAAATAATAATTTTGATTGTTTTGTCTCACCAAACTCATGAAGTATTTTATAGTTTGATTAAGAAGTTATCTACGGACCTTGACAATTGATTAGAAACAACATCCACAAGTATGACAAACAAGTGGCCCAAATCATATTTAATGTATTAGATAAAACATCATTATATTAATTATCAACATCTTCGTTATGTTTTAATTTTTATTATTTACGATGTCATTTAATGTATTGAAGAATTAGCTTCTTCAATCGACTAATAAAAAAAAGAAAAATATGAAATATAATTAACACAAAAAAATAGTATGGTGAAAAACTTCTTACTCAATAAAATAAAAATCACAAATTATTCTCATAAAATTTCTTTCAAATTAGATTAATTACAAATTGCTTGTTTTTTAATACTTTAATTCTAGGTTCAAATTTTTGTTATCTTTATTTTTTTCCCTATCTTTCATAGATCTTTCTCCACATTAAGGAGGAAGACGTGCTACATTAATTACTGTTGCTTATGTCTCACTTTACGTGATATAATTTGACTAATTTTTTGGCTTAAAATTATTCATTAATTCAAAATATAAAAATAAAGCTGCAATAATTATAAAAGGCAACAAGAAGAATTTGAATTACCATAATGACGTTACTTAGTTATTAATATTGTGCTTCTATTTAACCCAAAATAAATGCATGAAACCTGAAAACATAATTTTCGGCCTCAAATATGAAAACTAGTGTGTTTGGTACATAGGAGAATATTTTTCATGAAAAATGTTTGTGTGTCATAAAAGTCTTATTAATAGTTATGGTGGGGCAATGCCAGAACTATGCGCAATATGAAGCGCTGTACACGATGTAGACGACTCAATTTGTTTGTGGTACAAACGATATTAATATGGATACATTTTTCTAAAAAAAATCAGGTGTTTGTTCTTATATACTTAAAATTCAATTTGATGTACATATACTTAATATTAATATGTGGTCCTTTGTACGTATGATGACAGATTGTAGAGATAATATTGGGAGGTGAAGTTGATAAACAAAAATGGAAAATGCCAGAAGAGGAAGAAGAAGAACAAGAAGAGTTTTGGGGTTTTGAGGATCTTGAATGTGAATGTGATAGTTCCTTCTCAACTTCCCCACATGACACATTCTCAACAAGAAGCTCATAAATTCAAATCTACATCATTTACTATATATGCTAGTTTTTAGACATTTATAGATAAAAACACTTAGGAGGGGGGGGGGGGGGTGGGTTTCCTAGCTAAAATAAC